TGCCCTATGGTAGAAATCTGCTGCGGCTGCACCGCAACGCCACGACCAAGTGCTTCAATGCTTAGGGTATATCCATACTTCATTAGGATCGGTCGTTGAGATGCCCCTAACAACGCTTATTAGCAGAATAAGATCCGCGCCAGTTGCGTTGCAGCGCCACGGTTAAGGTTATCTCCACACGTCATAAGGATCGACCGACCGTTATAACGCTTATAAGCGCAATAAGAATCGGCCGATCGAGGGTGCGCGACAATTGCGTTGCTGTGCCGTAGTCAAGTACCACTTTGTCTGGGGTTCTGTCCTGATCTTCCCGACACACCTGCTGACAACTTCTGCGAACTCGAACATAATTTGAAGAAAGAAAGCGATTCAAGGTCGGAAGAAAAATGCGAAAGGGCGGGATAGAGCCGAATATATCGGTGCTTACCATCGGCCGCAACGCAACCACCGTGCACCCTCAACCGACCGATTCTTATTGCGCTTATGAGCGTTATAATAGTCGGCCGATCCTTATGAAGTTGGACATACCTTAAACACTGATTTGGCGTACGCCCTTTTTCTCCATATGACTTTATTTTAGGTTGTGGTAAACCTTTCAGAAATCGATAGCGAATGCGGGAGATTTGTATCGAACTCCAGCCAAAATGGTAGACTGCCTATTCCGCAACGCGACAGCGCCGCGCTCTTGATCAGCCGATCCTTAATTCGCTTATAGGCATTGTAAAGATCTGCCGATATGAATTGATCTTTATGGTATCCCCATACTTCATAAGGATCGGCGGAATCAAATCGGCCAATCCTTATAATAATTATAAGCACAGTAAGAATCCTTCTGGTCGAGGGCGGCGGTTGCGGTGCGGCGGCGCAGTCAAACACCATTTTACTCCCGCATACTTGCTGCAACTTCTGAGAATTCTAACACTAAATAAACGAAGAAAGCAAGTCAGAGTCGGAGGAAAATGTGGGAAGTGTGGGTTAGAGTCGTTACGCCAAATCGCTACTAAACAGGGGGCCGCAACGCAATCGCCGCCACCCTCCATCGGCCGATTCTTATTGCGTTTATAAGCGTTATAAGGACCGGCCGATCCAGATTGGGCAATCCTTATAAGTATGGTGCCTTTAGCAACGCATGTCCACGTCTAACGCGCGGTTCTCTTCTATCCATTTGACAGACCTCTAAATGTTGAAATCATTTCACCGATGATGCGTAGTCTTTTCGATAGGGGCACGTATTTCCACCCGTAAGGCGCACTTGGTACTACTTTTGTGTGCATTTTTGGGTCGCGATGTGTATGCAGCGACAACCGCGGCCTATAGGTAGCGAATTATATACTCCCATCAAAGCAGCCTATATACTCAGAAGAATAGCAGCTGCTTGAGTACTTCTGGATTTTCCTTTCAAGCCCCGATGATGTACAGTTGTCATCAATAAGCCTATGACTCTTCAGAGGATGTGCTTTGGAAAGAATCCCGAAGGAAAGGATGAACTAGTCGGTGATAATCCGAGCGGAGATAATCGTGGCGAGGCTGGTGATAGTGATGAGTGAATTTTCTGATCGTTTGCCTTGTTTTATGGATTCGATGATTTTGGGTGAATTATGCTTACATTCTTTCGCATTTGATATATGTTCGGAATCCTTTCGAATGAGAAGCATCATGAGAGGCTACGTTTAAGAGATCTCAGCATTTTTGGAGTTTGTTTTCCTTAGTTTTCTTCCCAAATGCTTATAATTATATGCTACCATTTTGGCTGCTTCATGCTATAATCTTCTCTCTTTGCCCTCTTCTTGTTTTCCTTTTGGAACTATGTCTTTTTCATACCAGTTTAAATGAGAATGATGGAGCCGCTTGTTTGCTGTGTTAAATCTTTTTGCTATTTCATCTTTGCCAACCCTATTATGAATTGCAGCTAGCAGAAATATTTCACACCAATCACTCTGTTAATTATTATTGCGGTTGCCCCATTAGGTAGTGGTAAAT